TCTCATGCCTCCATCCATTTCTGATCCCATATTACCTAAAGTGACTCATTGGCAGCGTGTCAGGATCCAGAGTTTTTAGTCTTTGATTGTTTTTAATGTTGAGATAACTATAGCTGAATGAACCTGTCTCCAGCTCCTCCTCCTCCTCTATCAGAGCTTGTGGCTGCAGCAGGACTCTCCATACCTGAGTTTGCGTGGATCCTTCAGAGCGGCCATCAGCAGCTTCACACCTGAATATCCTGGACGGTTGGAGCTCAGGTCCAGCTCTTTCAGATGGGAGGGGCTGGAGGTCACAGCTGAGGCCAGAGAAGAACAGCCTTCCTCTGAGATCCCACAGCTGGACAGGCTGCAGACACACAGAACAACACAGAAACTGTGAGAGCTGCTCTGAGACTGAAGCTGGATGTTATCACATGTTGATCTGATGATGGCTCCAAAGCACTCAGTCAGCAATCTGACCAATGACATCAGTCTATTAGACACTGTCAGACGTTTTTAGTCTGAACCAATCTGGAGGATCAACTTGAACATTTCAAACTGTAGCAGAGGTTCAAACATTGTGAAAGGGTTCATGTTAAAGGAGGAATGAGAACAGGCAGCACACTGAGTGTTAGCGGTGCCAGAGCTAGGGGACCTAGACCTGGGCCAGCAGCAAGGGCTGCACCGGCTAGGGAGCACTGTGTAACCAGGTTTTACAGAGGCTTACTCTGTGGATCAACAAGGAGAGGACCACTGTTAGCGTGCTGCTCATGCTCAATCTGCTTTAGTTCTGAAGCCATGTGTTGAACTAGGTAGCTATCTCCCTGGTTAATCCACAGCTGTAAACATAGCCAAGTACTGACCTAACTCTGTGTTTTCTTGTATGTGGGAAAAGTCATGTGACATTAAAAATGTTAGGATAATTCAATTATTAATAAAAAATAATGCCTGTTTACATAACAATCTACAAACATATAGTGTTTCTGCAACCTACTATATGATCATGTGATGTCACAGGAAAATGGTAAGAACTTTATTCTCAGCAAAGAAGAGAAACTCTGCATCTAAAAACTATGTTAGATTCACATTAACCTGCGGCTGATCTGGCTGCATCTTTTCATAAAAAACAGAGCACTAATTTGTATTTGTTAGTTGCTAAATTCCCAACTAAAGCGGCTCATAATCACATATTCATGGCTTCAGAATCCTAAACTTCAGTTTCTGGAAGGAAAAGCCATTTTTCATCCGGTTCTGACCTGAGTGTTTCCAGTCTGCAGTTTGGACTTTCCAGTCCAACAGAAACATGTTTCACTCCTGAATCCATCAGCATGTCTCTACTCAGGTCCAGATGTGTGAGATTGGAGGACTGACACATCTAGTGTAGTGTAGTCTGCTGCCTGTCTTTATCAGGTATATCTGGTTGTGTCCAACAGGGTTTTTAATACAGTTTTTACCATTAAATGATGCAAAAGGTTCAAGATGTAAACTGTGTATAAAATATGATCCATATGGCATTACAGGGTTACACATTTGGGAACAGCTGTCCACTTCCTAATGTCAGAGCTAACTAAAATTTCCATTTTCTCTGCAGCAGATAACAGAATCTCATACACAGACAGAGGCCACATCAACCTCTGAGACCATCCAAACTGCAGACTCCACAGCTGCAACTTTCCTGGAAGCCCTGATTTATCTCTTATATCCAGTCCTTCAGCAGCATCTTTCCAAAGCTGCTCTACCTGTCATCCAGGTCTGTCGGCTACCACCTACCTAAACTCTGTACTGGTTTGACCCTAATTATTGGAATTATTTCTTCATCCATTACAAACTTTCTGCCACTTCATTTTCTTCCAGTGATTGAGAAGCTTCTGGATTTGATTTTCAGCCAGTTTTCATCCAGTTCTGACCTGAGTGTTTCCAGTCTGCAGTTTGGACTTTCCAGTCCAGCAGAAAGATGTTTCACTCCTGAATCCCTCAGCATGTTTCTACTCAGGTCCAGTTCTTTCAGATGGGAGGGGCTGGACTTTAATGCAGAGGCCACAGCTTCACAGACACTCTCTGACAGTCCACAGTCTGCAAGTCTGTGATAGAAAACATGGAAAGGAAGCCAGAATCACATCAGCTGATCCACACTGGAAACACAAAGTCAGCACAAACTGTAACTAAACATCTGGATGGAAAGAATGGGATGTGAGATTAATGTGATCTGATCAACATAGTTCTTCATCTGAGGTTCATCTCATCTCACTTTGATGTGACAGTTATTCTCCTCAGCCTCTCAGACCTGAGCACTTTAAATAGGCCATAGGCTGAACCCTGTATCGTTCAAGTTCGCTCCACCTATTTAGGGACCACTAAATGACACCTGCAAAAAAATCCTTAGTGCATTTTGAGCTCATAACCAAAAGTTCTCCAATCGCTTTGCGCCAGTATTTTTACAATAATTACTTAAAAATGTAACTATATCGGTAGCCTGATCACACCGGTAAAGTACGCTCGAATCAAGCCGCTTAGCCATTAGCCAATCAGAGCGCGTCCGTCAGGTGCGCTCTCCCATTCAGAGGCGAGAACAGAAGAACAACAACAAACATGGCTGCTCCCATGGAGCAGCGCGTTCCCGTTGATCTGACAAAAAACCCAAGAAAAATGAGGATTATATATGCATCACACACATATCATCGGTAGACAAAGAACGAACACAGCCACTAACAGTTGTCCGTGGAAGAAGCTGGTCGTATGTGCCCGTAAGTGTATTGACGGAATTGACCGCACGTTGGCGGAGGGACACAAGACAAAGAAAGGTAAATTGGTCCAAGCAGAAACTATAAATACTGGTGATTAGATAATTTGCAGACAGCATCTTTGTTTGTGGCTTATAATCAAAAGCTAAAGTAATACATTTGTTGATAAAAAAAAAATGCATGTGTAATTGGTGCCAGCCCAAGCCTGCTCACATCATTATGAAGTAGGTGTATGAAGGCTATGTGTAGGGCCTCAATAATAATAAAAGGCATTATTATGAACTTGAAGTGATGATAGGCAATTAATTGATTTGTCAAATAATGGTTAGATTTTAAATTTGTCACCCAACTACCAGTTCAGTCCGGTAAAACAGAGAAAATGTATTTGATATTATTTGTTGGCAGCTGGTTTATGATTGAACTTTAACTCTCTCTTTGCTAGGGAGTTTGGTTAAAGCAGCTGAAGTGAAAATGGACGAATCCATCCTCAAGGATGTACGTGGAAAAGATTGTGTCGCAATTGAAGTCCGGTAGCACAAACGGTGCTACAAAGAAAGTTCAATTCAATTCAATTTTATGTATATTGATACTAATGATAATGATAGGAGTTATGACAGAAATAACACTATGCAGAGTAGTAGCAGAGCAGGAACACGGAGCAGCAGGAAACTCCCAACCACAGATCCAGACTCCACAGCTCTGGAACACCTGCAGGAAGTGATAGGAGGAGACTCCTATCACTCCTATGATTTTGATTATTCATAGTTTCTTTGTGTTTTCTATAGAAATTCTCAAGTCGTCTCAACCCGAAGTGATCCTAAAAAGTTTAACATCTCAAGGCTTGCTGGGTCCAACAAAAGTAATTGTTTAAAAACAGAAATGTCTTTATGCCTTCTTTAATTACCTGTACATTTCCATATTATGTCTTGCCTCAGAGGAGTGAAATCATAACCCTAGGGTTATCTGATTGAAACTATTTCATTTCTGAAAACCAATATTGGACAAACCAATATTTGTCCAATGTCCATAGTTAACTGAAGTTTGTAGTAAATGTGAAAAAAACAATCTTGTCGCTTATATATAAGAGTTAATTTTTTTAATGTTGTGATATTAATACTTTCCAATGTTCTTATAAATAATCAATAATTATGATTATTATTCTTGTTATTGTTATGAGGCATCTGAAAACTTTACCCCTTTTCAAAATCATGTTATCATTGCTATTGCAATGGAGTGCAGTGGAGATTTATAAATGGTTAGAATCAGTCTTTATAATTATATATGTACATGTATAAGATTTGGGAGATATCAACTTGGGCATGCTTAATGCTTGGTAGAATTGTTCAAAAGTAATTGAAAAATGATATGTAGGCTTCTTATTCTCTCTCAATTTTTCTGAAGATGATTAATTCTCCCTGTTAATATTCATAAATGTTTCAACAAACAGAAGTAGTAACTCTCGTGTGTGCGGGGATGGAGTGGTGGTGGTGGTGGTGGTGGGGGGGGGTGTTACTATTATTTTTGTTATTATTTGTTCATTAATACCATGATTGCTTAAGTTGGTATCAGGTCCATTGAATAAACGGTATCAATTTACTTGAAGATTCTTCTAGTTTTCATTGTTTCAGTTATTTCCTAAAATTTTGCTTCCAATATTGTAACTGGTCTGCTAGGTGATAAAATTCACAACACTTTTCATAGTTATTACTTAACCAAACACAAAGGGATATCTTTCTATTGGAGTTTTTCAATTGAAAATTCAAAGAATTGCAGTTTTCATGTGCAATAATGATACATTTTGGGAGATTGTGAAATTGTTCAAAAGTGTATGTTTTCATTTAGAATAACTCCTTACTTAAAGCACGCAGAACATTGCCGCTTTAGAAGCTCAGAGTAAGTATGAATGTCTGTGCGAAAAAAGAAATTGAGTCTGATTGCCTTAATAATAAAAAAGTTACAAGGGTTTGAAAATGGTAGAAGACCCAAAATCGTCACTTTTTTGGGTAAACTGCCACCTTTGGCACCCTTTTTCTCAAATACTGGCAGGAATCCTATGGAGAACTTTTTTTCCCAGGTCGAGTACATATTCAAGATTGGAAAACTGCTACAGAAAAGTAGTCCCCACGATAGTGGAGCGAAATCCTATTTCTAGCCACATTTGGAGCTTCAGCCTATGGCCTATATGTGACAGTGATTCAGCAGCACTGCTCTCCTGATCTGGAAACTTTTTTCATCAACTGCAAACCCTTTTACTCGCCCCGTGAGTTCGCCTCATTCATTCTGGTCGGTGTTTACATCCCACCGCAGGCCAACGTGCAGGACGCACAGCGCACGCTCGCCGACCAGATACTGCGTGTGGAGCGGACATTCCCGGACTCTTTAGTTATTGTCCTCGGCGACTTTAACAAAGGTAACCTCACCCACGAACTCCCAAAATACAGACAACTTATAAAATGTCCGACCAGAGAGGACAATATTTTGGATCACTGTTACACCATTATCAGTAACGCTTATCACGCCGTCCCCCGCGCTGCACTGGGCCACTCTGACCACGTCATGGTCCATCTGATTCCTGCATACAGACAGAAACTCAAACTCTGTAAACCAGCTGTGAGGACATCAAAGCAGTGGAGCAGTGAGGCTGTGGAGGATCTTAAGGCGTGTTTGGAGACTACTGACTGGGATGTTTTCAGGACTGCCACCACCAGTCTGGATGAGTACACAGAGACTGTGACTTCTTATATCAGTTTCTGTGAGGACTGCTGCATACCATCACGCACCAGGGTGAGCTACAACAATGACAAACCCTGGTTCAGTCCTAAACTCAGACAGCTGAGGCTGCAGAAGGAAGAGGCATTCAGGAGCGGGGACAGGGACAGGTTTAAGGAGTCAAAGTACAGGTTTAGCAAGGCGGTGAGGGACGCTAAACGGCTGTACTCTGAGAATCTCAAAAAACAGTTCTCAGCCAACGACTCTGCATCTGTCTGGAAGGGGCTCAGGCAGATCACCAACTACAAACCTAAATCCCCCCACTCTGTCAACGACCTGCGTCTGGCAAACGAGCTGAACGACTTCTACTGCAGATTTGAAAGACAATGGGACAGTCCTAACACCAACACCATCCCCCGACACCACCAGCCCCTGCCCTCCTGCACCCCCATCCCCACCTCAGCGGGGGCCTGCCCCCACCCTCAACTGCCCACATTGAAGGACCCCCTTCCGTCAACTACCATGACTCTCTCCATCCAGCAGAGGGACGTATCCAGTCTATTCAGGAAACAAAAACCACGCAAAGCAGCTGGACCCGACTCTATCTCTCCTAGCATCCTGAAGCACTGCGCAGACCAGCTGTCTCCTGTGTTCACCGACATCTTCAACACCTCGCTGGAGACATGCCATGTGCCCGCCTGCTTCAAAACCTCCACCATCATCCCCGTCCCCAAAAAACCAAAGATTTCAGGCCTCAATGAATACAGACCTGTCGCCCTGACCTCCGTGGTGATGAAGGTATTTGAGCGCCTTGTCCTTGCCCACCTGAAAGACATCTCAGACCCACACCTGGACCCACTGCAGTTTGCCTACAGAGCCAACAGGTCTGTAGATGACGCTGTCAACCTGGCTCTCCACTTCATCCTCCAGCACCTGGACTCCCCGGCCACCTACGCCAGGATCCTGTTTGTGGATTTTAGCTCCGCCTTCAACACCATCATCCCCCCTCTACTCCAGGACAAGCTCTCCCAGCTGGGTGTGCCTGACCCCACCTGCATATGGATCACTGACTTCCTATCTGACAGGAGGCAGCATGTGAGGCTGGGAAGCCACACCTCCAACAGCCGGACCATCAGCACTGGATCCCCCCAGGGCTGTGTTCTCTCCCCCCTACTCTTCTCCCTGTACACCAACAGCTGCACCTCCAGCCACCAGTCTGTCAAGCTCCTGAAGTATGCGGATGACACGACCCTCATCGGACTCATCTCAAATGGGGACGAGTCCGCCTACAGGTGGGAGATCGACCGTCTGGTGTCCTGGTGTGCAGCCAACAACCTGGAGCTCAACGCGCTCAAGACAGAGGAGATGGTTGTAGACTTCAGGAAGAACACAGCACCACCTGCTCCCATCACTCTGTGTGGCTCCACAATTGCTTCTGTGGAGTCCTTCTGTTTCCTGGGGATCACAATAACCCAGGACCTCAAGTGGGAGCTGAACATCAGATCCCTCACAAAGAAAGCACAGCAGAGGATGTTCTTCCTGCGGCAGCTGAAGAAGTTCAACCTGCCCAAGGCAATGATGGTGCACTTCTACACAGCCATCATTGAGTCCATCCTCACCTCCTCCATCTCCATCTGGTACGCTGCTGCCACCGCTAAGGACAAGGGCCGACTGCAGCGTATCATTCGCTCAGCCGAGAAGGTGATTGGCTGTGATCTGCCATCCCTTCAGGACCTGTACGCCTCCAGGACTTTAAGGCGTGCAGGAAGGATCATGTCTGATCCTTCTCACCCTGGTCACAAACTCTTTAAAACTCTCCCCTCTGGCAGAAGGTTGAGGACCATCAGGACCAAAACCTCACGCCATAAAGACAGTTTTTATCCAACAGCAACTGGCCTCATCAACAAGACCAGCGACCCCCACCTATTCTTCTCCCC